GCTAGATATTTTCATAATCTTCTTGAGTCCCTGTGATGACTCCAAGAAGAGTCTACGGTCAGCATAGGCTAGAATATATTATAGTAACGCACACACCCTCCAGATCTCAGAGTTTTATCTGAATAGTTTCTCTCACTCACAGACTTGGCTTTGGGTCGGAGCAATACCCCACATGTTGGCCCAGGATTCCATATGGACCCTTCCATATCAATGTTAATTCCACAGCTTCTGGGTCCAGGAAAATAGAGTAATGAGACTCCAACATTGACTAGTAAATGCTTCTTCCTCTTGGAAATAGCACAGGATACTTCCACTCATGGCTCATTGGCCAAAACAAGTCACGTGGACACACCCAACTTCAAGAGAGCAGAGAACTACAATCCCCCCGGGTGCTCAGTAGAGGAGAACCCGATATTGGTGAGTCATAGTAACGCTTTCTACATGTGGGTATGATTACTCCCAATTCACAGATCAGAAATTGGGGTGTCATGGTTAATTACCAGGCAGTTTTCTCTTTGGCTTTAAAACCATCTTCTCTTCCTGTTCCCAGCACTGTAGCTATTACAATAGAATGTACTGGATATAGACTATTTTCTTGCTAGGGAATTATCCAATTTTCTGCCTGCACCAGTCTTTGGGATGTTTATGATGATTTAAGGAAACCCCTCGCTAACTGTAAGCCAACTGATTTTCAATAAAACAACAAGTTCCAGATTGTGGTGAATCATTTCTATGGCTTTCCTGAGCTCCTTCATCAGAACCACTTAGGGCTCCTAAGAGTCCACCCGTGGCTTTTAGGAGACACCCAGGGGCCCTTTTCTTCCTCTGCCATTCAGGAAGCTCGGCTGGATCAGTCAGGATCCATGCACATACACGCAGCAGTGGTGGCCACGAAGTAGAAGTAAATTTGCATCGATGCCAATGTTCAATGCACTAATGTCAGTTTTAAAAATAAGTCTTAGGAGTCCATGACCCTCATCCCCTCCACCCCTTCCCTCCTGCAACCACCAGGTTGTTCTCTGTATTTATGAGGCTGTTTCTGTCTTTGTTCTTCTTTCTTCTGTTCTGTTTTTCAGATTCCACATATATGTGAATTTCACTTAGCATAATACCCTCTAGGTCCGTCCCCACGGTCATGAAATAGCTGAAGGGGATTAAAAGATATAAATCTCCAGTTACAAAATAAATAAGTCACAGAAATGAAAAGTACGGCATAGAGAGTATCGTTAATAATATTGTAATAACATTGTATGGTGACAGATAGTAACTATACTCATTGTGGTAGACACTGAGTAATGTATAGAACTGTTGGATCACTGTGTTGTCCGCATGAAACTAATAGAAGTTGTATGTCAACTGTACTTCCAAAAAGAAACAAAACAAAACAAAAACAAACACAAAACAAAACAAAACAAAAACCATCAAGAGGTACGTGATGCTCAGCGCCTCCCCACCGGGGGCAAGGGCTGTTCCTTTCTTTCTGCCAAGCCCCAGTGTACTTTTACTTACCTCTCCTGTGACCCACATGCATATTCTCTGGCTCTAGAATCAGTATGTCCTTGTCACCATGCCGTTTTTATCCCTGCAGACTGAATTTCCTCAGGTCCTATCAACTGATGGGTAGAAAGGGGATTACAGTCATAGTAATTACCCCAAAGTCACAACTCTCGTGATCCAATGTAATCTATAGGAACCCGACCTCCTAAAAAAGTCTTGTTCCCTCACTCAGCCCCAGAACCTTTTAAATAAAACCTTCACCCAGGCCTAGGACAGTTCACCCACCATATTTCACCTCTAGCTACAGGGGCAGGATCAGATAAGTGGGCAGAGACTGGGGTGGCCATGTGACAAGTGTTGGCCAATGATGGATATTAATAAGTGGCTGGAGCCTGAGGCACAGCTTGTTTCCTTTATCCTGTCCCCTGATCCCATCTTGGAATGTAAATGTGATACTTGGAGGTACAGCAGCCATTTCTTCACATGAGGTCTGAAGCCGAGGCCACTGCCGTGAAAACGCATCAAGAAGCCTTAGCGCCGCACTGCTCCCCTTCAGACTCCCCTGCTTCCAGGGGAGAAAACAACCCCTAACCTGTTAGGTTTTCTGTAGTTTGCAGTCATAGCAATCCTAACTGATACAGAATGGCGAAGCACATGTCTCCAAAACTACAGATGATATTCAATTGCTTTTAAAAAAGGGAAAACATACCCATTTGAGTCAAAATGGTAGAAGAAGGGCACGGCAAGAGGCAGGGACTGGCCAGATTCAGGAGCAGAGTCAGCACAGGAGTCCACAAAAAGATAGACCGTGGTGGCCCACGTTGAAGAACAATCCCTCTCCCTGTCCCCACCACCAGTACTGCTCACATAGAAGCTGAGGCCCGGGCAGGGGCGGGAGCGAGAGAGAAAAGAACACTTCATAAAAACTCAGGAATTCAGTGACTTGGTCATTTGGTAAATTGGCTTTTAGTAAATTAGCTTTCAGAGAATTGATTTTCAGCAAAGGGACTTAATGCCTGTGTTTTCAGCTAGAACGACTGTCATTCCCAGGGCTATGGCCGGGCTGAGAGGCATGAGGCCCTCCCCCCACCGACTGTGTGCTCTGGACGGGCCTGGCCCAGGGCGGCTCTGTCCCACAGCCCTCCAGGGCTCTCAGTCCAGCAGCTCCTTTCCCTCCCTGCCCTCTCTGGAGCGTTCAGGCATCAGCCCCGGGGTGGGGCACAGAGGCAAACCCCTGGGGAGCCCTGGGCTTCACTCACACCCAGTCTCCCCTCGGAAGACTAGAGTTTTTGATGCTGGTCAAGCTCTTGATGTCTGCCCTTCCTCATCCAGTGTTTGTTCTCTCCCAGGAACCTCCTAAGTTCCCTTAGGAAGAACCCTGTGCAGGTGCGAGCCATGACTTTCCAGACAGGCCTCATAGGACTGACCCCTAGCTGAGGCTCGAGCTGAGAATACAAATCCCAAGTTCCCCAGGCGTGTCTTGCATGTCAGGTCAGTAGGTCAGTAGACACTTGTCCAATAAATGACTATAATAATTACTGCCCTCTATGGAGGGTCTACCGTGTGCTTTGCACTGTGCCAGATTCTTCATTTACATATACCTCAGTTCCCTGAGGCTAACAGTGTGCCCTCCTTCTAGAAAAACCAGGAATAGGGGAAATAAAATTGACTTTCAAGAACTACACTAGGAGACTATCCACTGGAGGTAACTGGTCAGTATGAGAAGCAGGTCAGCCTCAGCTAAGCTTAGAAATCGATGGGATCTCTGGGCTGAAACATAATAAAGTCAATCTTTACCCAGGGCATGGTGGAATGTGGTCATAATCACCTGCTGTTGTTTTTATCTGCTCAGGATCCCTTGCTTTGGGGGGAACCATCTCTTTCCCACCTTCAGTGCAAGGGGTTTTAGGTGGAGATAAATTTACCTCCCTTCCCTCAGACATGTATCCCGACTCAGCCTGTGAGTGTTCCAGCCCAAGGGCGCAGCAATTCAGTGAGTCATTCAGGGTTGTTCATGTGACCCAAGCCACGTGAATAACAGTCATTCCTGAGACTATCACTGCCCCTCACTCTTTTGTGTGTGGTGGGAGGAAAATTTATGGTAAGTGCCTGCCTGAGGATAACATCAGCCCAGAAGAAAGCATCTCAGAGAAGAGAGAGAAAGAGGGAGAGAAAAGCAAACTGGATCCAGCCATGCCTGAAGCACATACCTACCCCTGAGCTTCCCAGTTACTTTAGCCAATATATTTTGTGTTAAGCTAGTTTGAGTTGGATGGATCTAACACCTGGTCTGAGTACCCAGAGAGCTCTTCAGGGAGATGACTTGTTCACTGACTTCACGTATTCTGGTCCCACTGGCAAAGTCACTTGTATGCTTAACAGATACGCATAGAACCTCTGATCCACCATCTCCCAGGTTCCTCAGCTAGATAAATGCAACTGCCGTGGACACATCTGCCAAAATCCTGAGAGCTGTCATTGATTCTACTCTTTCCCATACCCTCCAAGTTCCATTGATCAGTGCCTGTCAATATGGGGTAGACCCCCAAAATATCGACATCCTTCTAGTCTTCTCCAGTTCTTCTGCCACCATCGTGGCTGGCCTAACTGCTGCAAAAACCTCTCACCTGGTGTCCCTGTGGCAGCCAGGGTGATCTTCTAAACGTGGAGACCAGGTTGTATGGTGGCCCTGCTTCCAAAGGTTCAGTTACTGCTCACTGCCCTGAGGAGAAAGGTTCAGCTCTGTAGGCTGGCTCATGAGCTCTGTACACTCTGGCCCTGCAGCTTCGGTGATCTCCCCTGGCCGCTCGTGCCCCTGCTCATCTGCTCAGGCTCCCCTGCTTCCTTCGTGTTCCCTGACCTTGCCCAGGGTCCTGCAGCCCCAGGGCCTTTGCCCCTGCAAGTCTGTCCTCCTGGGATATTTGTCTCCTGGCTCCCCCATGCCTGGCTCATTCTCATTTCTCTGGTCTCAGCTCCTGTGTCATGTCTCTCCTCAGAGAGACTCTTTGGCTTCCTTGCTTTGGACTCAAGTCTCCCTCGAGGGAACGGCAGCTCCAGGAGGGTAAATGTTACCCCGCCCCCACAGTCTCTACACCAGTGTCTGGCATTGTGTGAGTCAGTTCCAGCTCCACCACAAATACCACAGACCGGGCAAGCTAACAAACAGGCCTTAATTTTCTCGCAGTTCTAGAAGCTGGACCCCTGAGAGCACAATGTCCGCAGGCCGGCAGGGCTGATTTCTTCTGAGGCTGCTCTCCTTGGCTTGCAGATGGCTGTCTCTTCCCTGTGTCCTCATGTGGTCTTCCCTCTGCTTCCATCGGTGTCCTAATCTCCTCCTAAATACACAGGTCACATTGGATGAGGGCCACCCTAATGGCCTCATATTAATTTAATTACCTCTTAAAAGGCTCTATCTCCAAATACAGTCCCACTCTCAGGTCCTGGGGGTTAGGACTTCAACATACGAATTTTTGGGGAAAATGATTCAGCCCATAGCAAGCATAAAGTCGGCCCTCAGACATATTTATTACATTAGCACAACGTCTGCCTTCTCTGCTTTATACTTGCTCCGGTAATCTCCTGTTGGAGATTTGGCTTCCCGAGCGACTTGTTGATCCTGCTAATGGGAAAGTTCTAGTCCATGTGACAGATCTATTTCTCACTATAAACGAATACATCAGAATTCTGGTGTTTGCCTCGGTCTACTGTGCACTTTAATCAGCATCGGACGGTCTGCAAGGCCTCTTTACTAATCCGGCACTGACAACGACATCCCCAGCCTTCCAAACCAACACTCAGGTCCTGGGATGCAGTGGATGACGGTGACGCCACTGGTGTGGGCTTCCCTGGCTTCAGCCACACCCCTCCTCCCCGGATGTCTCCTATTTTACAGATGGTCGGAGAGGTTAGGTAAATTATACAGTCACCCAGCTAGTCAGTCGTGCTAGAATCCAAATTCACATCTGGTCTTCTCTGGCCGCAAAGCTCCTGTGTTGTCATGGTTCTGCAGTTCTTGCTTCTGCAAATGAATATGCAAAAACAGGTCGCAACTGACCACCCAGTTCCCCCGGGGTCACTGACGTCATTCCTCCAAACACTGGCTGCTTTGAAAACAAGAGAGCGGGGATGGCCACGGTGAGCAGCCTGACAGAATCAAGGAGCAGGGGTGTTGTGGAAGGGTCTGGTGGGGCTTCAACTGCAGTCCCCCTCCTCACATCTGGAACCTGAGCCACAGGGCCCTGGCCTGGGCAGCCGTATTTGGGCACTTTCCCCAGGCCTGGATCTTGTCAGCCAGGGATTCCAGAAAAGACTGAGTAAAGAGCAAGTGAATGTCAGGACTGTGTCCTCCATAGGGTCAAATCCTTCCAAAGCAGCTCTTCCCACTTCCCCAGGCCTCCAGCTCCATGGCTGGCCCAGGCTTCTGTCTCCTCCCACGTTTCGTCTCACTTTGCTGTTTTGCCTCATAGCCGGGCCGGGACTGGACCCTGTCCCTGTGCCCGTGAGGAGGGGCCAGGCAGCCCAGGGATGAAGAACCAGCCTGAGCGTTGACATCACAGAAATCTGATCTAAATCCAGATTTAAGCACTTGCCTTCCTTGTGAGATGTAAGATGGGGACAATAGTCCCAATCGTGTAGCCAGTTACAAAGATAAATGTGATAAGAAAGTCAAATTCTTGGCATAGTGTGAGCACTCAATAAAAGAATATTAAAACCTAAACCTGTGGCTGAGGTTCCTCAGCTAGTGCAGAGCTCAGCCAGGATTTGGATCCTGAACTTCCGGGCTTCAAAACCCCTGCTCTTTCTCCCGCGCCTCCCTCCTCCCCAGGAGGCTGACCACACTGTCCCTCCCGCGCGGCACTGGTGGGAACACAGAGACAGGGGAGGTAGAACTGCTCTCTGCATTGTAGAAAAGCAAGGAAAATGTCAGTGGTTCTGCCTCTCACAGGCTGGCTCCACATCCGTCCTCCCTTTGGGACCTGTCTCTTAACCCACCATGTCTCCAGTGGGAGGAAATTGCCAGCAAACCTACTGCTCTGTCCCTCGACACCTTCCTCCTCTGGACCAGGGGATGGCTGCCTTGGGAACCAAGTGATTTCCTTGCTGTCTGCCCTGAAGACAGGCATGCCGAGAAAGCCACCAGAGATGGGCTTCTGCCGGATTATTTGGTGCCAGGGCTATTGGCTTGAGTGGTCTAAGACACCTGCTGCTTGGGCAGAAACCAGGAGGTGTGGGGGCGGGAGGGAAGACTCGTAGAAATGTGGGTAGGGACCAAAACTGAAGTCAGGAAGATCATCCAGCGGAACCCTGAATCTTAAGGGTTCCCAGACAGAAAAGGAGATGAGAGGATGGAATGTGGGGAGACCAGAAAGAGGAAGAAGGGTCGAAGTGTAGGGTGGGAGTCAGAATCCAGGGAAATCACTACTACTCGGAAAATGTCAGTGTGAAGGCTCTGAGCGGAGGGTGGGAACCCTGGGTATAGGCAGAAGGAGCTGTCAAGATACTGACCCTATCCAGATTGGCAGGTTCAATCCATCCCTGCCCTTTGTCTCACAACCCTGAGGGAAGGACCTTCAGGATGGATCAGTTTTGCTTGTTTTGTTTT